AAGATGACTGTACAGAATTATAGCATGAGGGTTAGGGTTAGTTTTAGGGTTACAGCATGATAGAAGGATACAACAGTTGTCCCACTATCACTGGCATCAAGATGACTGTACAGAATTATAGCATGAGGATTAGGGTTAGGTTTAGGGTTACAGCATGACAGAAGGATACAACAGTTGTCCCACTATCACTGGCATCAAGAAGACTGTACAGAATTATAACATGAGGGTTAGGGTTAGGGTTAGGGTTAGGGTTAGGGTTACAGCATGACAGAAGGATACAACAGTTGTCCCACTATCACTGGCATCAAGATGACTGTACAGAATTATAGCATGAGGATTAGGGTTAGGTTTAGGGTTACAGCATGACAGAAGGATACAACAGTTGTACCAGTATCACTGGCATCAAGATGATTGTACACAATTATAGCATGAGGATTAGGGTTAGGTTTAGGGTTACAGCATGACTGAAGGATACAACAGTTGTCCCACTATCACTGGCATCAAGATGACTGTACAGAATTATAGCATGAGGATTAGGGTTAGGTTTAGGGTTACAGCATGACAGAAGGATACAACAGTTGTACCAGTATCACTGGCATCAAGATGATTGTACACAATTATAGCATGAGGGTTAGGGTTAGGGTTAGGGTTACAGCATGATAGAAGAATACAACAGTTGTCCCACTATCACTGGCATCAAGATTAATGTACACAATTATAACATGAGGGTTAGGGTTAGGGTTAGGGTTACAGCATGATATAAGGATACAACAGTTGTACCAGTATCACTGGCATCAAGATGACTGTACAGAATTATAGCATGAGGGTTAGGGTTAGGGTTACAGCAAGATAGAAGAATACAACAGTTGTCCCACTATCACTGGCATCAAGTTGACTGTACAGAATTATAACATGAGGGATAGGGTTAGTTTCAGGGTTACAGCATGATAGAAGGATACAACAGTTGTACCACTATCACTGGCATCAAGATGACTGTACAGAATTATAACATGAGGGTTAGGGTTAGTTTTAGGGTTACAGCATGATATAAGGATACAACAGTTGTACCAGTATCACTGGCATCAAGATGACTGTACAGAATTATAGCATGAGGGTTAGGGTTAGTTTTAGGGTTACAGCATGATATAAGGATACAACAGTTGTACCAGTATCACTGGCATCAAGATGACTCTACAGAATTATAGCATGAGGGTTAGGGTTAGGGTTACAGCAAGATAGAAGAATACAACAGTTGTCCCACTATCACTGGCATCAAGATGACTGTACAGAATTATAACATGAGGGTTAGGGTTAGGGTTGGGGTTAGAGTTACAGGAAGATAGAAGAATACAACAGTTGTCCCACTATCACTGGCATCAAGTTGACTGTACAGAATTATAACATGGGGGTTAGGGTTAGGGTTGGGGTTAGAGTTACAGGAAGATAGAAGAATACAACAGTTGTCCCACTATCAATGGCATCAAGTTGACTGTGCAGAATTATAACATGAGGGTTAGGGTTAGGGTTAGGGTTAGGGTTACAGCATGACAGAAGGATACAACAGTTGTCCCACTATCACTGGCATCAAGATGACTGTACACAATTATAGCATGAGGGTTAGGGTTAGGGTTAGGGTTACAGCATGATAGAAGAATACAACAGTTGTCCCACTATCACTGGCATCAAGATTACTGTACAGAATTATAACATGAGGGTTAGGATTAGGGTTTCAGCATGATAGAAGAATACAACAGTTGTCCCACTATCACTGGCATCAAGATGACTGTACAGAATTGTAGCATGAGGGTTAGGGTTAGGGTAAGGGTTACAGCATGATAGAAGAATACAACAGTTGTCCCACTATCACTGGCATCAAGATCACTGTACAGAATTATAGCATGAGGGTTAGGGTTAGGGTTAGGGTTACAGCATGATAGAAGAATACAACAGTTGTCCCACTATCACTGGCATCAAGATGACTGTACACAATTATAGTATGAGGGTTAGGGTTAGGGTTAGGGTTACAGCATGATAGAAGAATACAACAGTTGTCCCACTATCACTGGCATCAAGATGACTGTACACAATTATAGCATGAGGGTTAGGGTTAGGGTAAGGGTTACAGCATGATAGAAGAATACAACAGTTGTCCCACTATCACTGGCATCAAGATCACTGTACAGAATTATAGCATGAGGGTTAGGGTTAGGGTTAGGGTTACAGCATGATAGAAGAATACAACAGTTGTCCCACTATCACTGGCATCAAGATGACTGTACACAATTATAGCATGAGGGTTAGGGTTAGGGTTAGGGTTACAGCATGATAGAAGAATACAACAGTTGTCCCACTATCACTGGCATCAAGATGACTGTACAGAATGATAGGATGAGGGTTAGGGTTAGTTTTAGGGTTACAGCATGATATAAGGATACAACAGTTGTACCAGTATCACTGGCATCAAGATGACTCTACAGAATTATAGCATGAGGGTTAGGGTTAGGGTTACAGCAAGATAGAAGAATACAACAGTTGTCCCACTATCACTGGCATCAAGATGACTGTACACAATGATAGCATGAGGGTTAGGGTTAGTTTTAGGGTTACAGTATGATAGAAGGATACAACAGTTGTACCAGTATCACTGGCATCAAGATGACTGTACAGAATGATAGGATGAGGGTAAGGGTTAGTTTTAGGGTTACAGCATGATATAAGGATACAACAGTTGTACCAGTATCACTGGCATCAAGATGACTGTACAGAATTATAGCATGAGGGTTTGGGTTAATTTTAGGGTTAGGGTTACAGCATAATAGACGAATACAACAGTTGTCCCACTATCACTGGCATCAAGATGACTGTACAGAATTATAACATGAGGGTTAGGGTTAGGGTTAGGGTTAGGGTTACAGCATGATAGAAGAATACAACAGTTGTCCCACTATCACTGGCAGCAAGTTGACTGTACAGAATTATAACATGAGGGTTAGGGTTAGGGTTGGGGTTAGAGTTACAGGAAGATAGAAGAATACAACAGTTGTCCCAGTATCACTGGCATCAAGCTGACTGTACAGAATTATAACATGAGGGTTAGGGTTAGGGTTAGGGTTAGGGTTACAGCATGATAGAAGAATACAACAGTTGTCCCACTATCACTGGCATCAAGATGACTGTACAGGATTATAACATGAGGGTTAGGGTTTCAGCATGATAGAAGAATACAACAGTTGTCCCACTATCACCGGCATCAAGATGACTGTACAGAATTGTATTATGAGGGTTAGGGTTAGTTTCAGGGTTACAGCATGATAGAAGAATACAACAGTTGTCCCACTATCACCGGCATCAAGATGACTGTACAGAATTGTAGTATGAGGGTTAGGGTTAGTTTCAGGGTTATAGCATGATAGAAGAATACAACAGTTGTCCCACTATCACTGGCATCAAGATGACTGTACAGAATTATAACATGAGGGTTAGGGTTAGGGTTAGGGTTACAGCATGATAGAAGAATACAACAGTTGTCCCACTATCACTGGCATCAAGATGACTGTACACAATTATAGCATGAGGGTTAGGGTTAGGGTAAGGGTTACAGCATGATAGAAGAATACAACAGTTGTCCCACTATCACTGCCATCAAGATGACTGTACAGAATTATAACATGAGGGTTAGGGTTAGGGTTAGGGTTAGGGTTACAGCATGATAGAAGAATACAACAGTTGTCCCACTATCACTGGCATCAAGATGACTGTACAGAATTGTAACATGAGGGTTGGGGTTAGGGTTACAGCATGATAGAAGAATACAACAGTTGTCCCACTATCACTGGCATCAAGTTGACTGTACAGAATTATAACATGAGGGTTAGGGTTAGGGTTAGGGTTAGGGTTACAGCATGATAGAAGAATACAACAGTTGTCCCACTATCACTGGCATCAAGATTACTGTACAGAGTTATAACATGAGGGTTAGGATTAGGGTTAGGGTTACAGCATGATAGAAGAATACAACAGTTGTCCCACTATCACTGGCATCAAGATGACTGTAAAGAATTATAGCATGAGGGTTAGGGTTAGGGTTAGGGTTAGTTTCAGGGTTACAGGATGATAGAAGGATACAACAGTTGTCCCACTATCACTGGCATCAAGATGACTCTACAGAATTATAGCATGAGGGTTAGGGTAAGGGTTACAGCATGATAGAAGGATACAACAGTTGTCCCACTATCACTGGCATCAAGTTGACTGTACAGAATTATAACATGAGGGTTGGGGTTAGGTTGGGGTATGGGCTACCAACAGTGTAGTAGTACAACATGACCAATACAGCATGAGACACCAACAGTGTACCAGCACAACATAGGCCACCAACAGTGTACCAGCACAACATGACCAGCACAACATAGGCCACCAACAGTGTACAAGCAGAACATGGGCCACCAACAATGTACTAGCACAACATGGGCCACCAACAGTGTACCAGCACAACATGACCAATACAGCATGATCTACCAACAGTGTACTAGCACAACACAACAACACAACATGAACAAACAACTCTAAGTAGCTCTCTGAGAGGAATAGCTTCAGATCCCAAGAGTCACTCACTACCAGAATCATTATTCAGGGTATTACCAAACAATGTCAGGCAGCTGCCTGGATAGAGGGAGTCACGATCATTGTAAGAATTCATTCCTAACCTTAAATCTTTCATGTTACATATCTGTTCAACAAACAAGTCATAACCACTGATTTCCCATTAAACTCATGTGATCCCTGATTTATTCCAATTGCAGTCCTACTGACCAGCATTACACCACTTACACTTTAATTATTTTTTATAAAGATTCTAGACCTTCAAATTATCTTTTAATTGTTTTAATGAAATACATGAATCTTCAAATTAAAAGAAAACTGCAAATAATTACTTTTCCCAAAAGTATGAGCATTAACAGTTTTGTGTTGACAACAAGTAAGCAATACTAATGTCTCACCAAACACATTCAGCTGCACCTTCCTGCGCAGCTTCTCCGGCGTTGTGATCTGGCACTCATACATCCCAGCATGCAGGGGCTGGACATTTTTTATCATGAGGTTCCAGTCGGAAACCTCCTCACTTTTCTCGATGTGGTCCACTGTGATGCTACGATCCTTCACCCACGTCATTGTCCCGATTGTTGTCATGTGACCCTTGTCGACACGCTTCCAGCCCACCTGTGTCCACAGATAGTAGCATTTCACAAAACAGATCGTGTCACTGGTAATTGTAAAACAAGACACCAATATTCTCAAGGCAAGGATCACCAGCAGACTCATGGTAATGACACCAATATATTCACAGTAATGTCACTAATAGATTCATGGTCCCTTGCCATATTATACTATCTGTCATTGGTAGTAGTGTGTATAGTGTGTCCCTTGCAATATTATACTATCTGTCATTCGTAGTAATGTGAAGTGTGTCCCTTGCAATATTATACTATCTGACATTGTTAGTAGTGTGTAGTGTGTCCCTTGCCATATCATACTATCTGACATTGGTAGTAGTGTGTAGTGTGTCCCTTGCCATATTATACTATCTGACATTGATAGTTGTGTGTAGTGTGTCCCTTGCCATATTATACTATCTGACATTGGTAGTAGTGTGTAGTGTGTCCCTTGCCATATTATACTATCTGACATTGGTAGCAGTGTGTAGTGTGTCCCTTGCCATATTATACTATCTGACATTGGTAGTTGTGTGTAGTGTGTCCCTTGCAATATTATACTATCTGACATTGGTAGCAGTGTGTAGTGTGTCCCTTGCCATATTATACTATCTGACATTGGTAGTTGTGTGTAGTGTGTCCCTTGCAATATTATACTATCTGACATTGGTAGCAGTGTGTAGTGTGTCCCTTGCCATATTATACTATCTGACATTGGTAGTTGTGTGTAGTGTGTCCCTTGCCATACCATACTATCTGACATTGGTAGTTGTGTGTAGTGTGTCCCTTGCCATATTATACTATCTGACATTGGTAGTAGTGTGTAGTGTGTCCCTTGTCATATTATACTATCTGACATTGGAAGTTGTGTGTAGTGTGTCCCTTGCAATATGATACTATCTGACATTGGTAGTAGTGTGTCGTGTGTCCCTTGCCATATTATACTATCTGACATTGGTAGTAGTGTGTAGTGTGTCCCTTGTCATATTATACTATCTGACATTGGTAGTTGTGTGTAGTGTGTCCCTTGCCATATTATACTATCTGACATTGGTAGTAGTGTGTAGTGTGTCCCTTGCCATATTATACTATCTGACATTGGTAGTAGTGTGTCGTGTGTCCCTTGTCATATTATACTATCTGACATTGGTAGTAGTGTGTAGTGTGTCCCTTGCCATATTATACTATCTGACATTGGTAGTAGTGTGTAGTGTGTCCCTTGTCATATTATACTATCTGACATTGGTAGTAGTGTGTAGTGTGTCCCTTGCCATATCATACTATCTGACATTGGTAGCAGTGTGTAGTGTGTCCCTTGCCATATTATACTATCTGACATTGGTAGTTGTGTGTAGTGTGTCCCTTGCCATATTATACTATCTGACATTGGTAGTAGTGTGTAGTGTGTCCCTTGTCATATTATACTATCTGACATTGGAAGTTGTGTGTAGTGTGTCCCTTGCAATATGATACTATCTGACATTGGTAGTAGTGTGTCGTGTGTCCCTTGCCATATTATACTATCTGACATTGGTAGTAGTGTGTAGTGTGTCCCTTGCCATATTATACTATCTGACATTGGTAGCAGTGTGTAGTGTGTCCCCTGGCACTACACTTACACCAGCAATGTGTTTTTCACACATCATAATCTACCAATGGCTCGTAGCCCTCGGCTTCACTGCACCCACACTGACAGTAGGAATGACCAAAGCCCAAACAGGAACAAAAACAAGCAGAGGATATTCTATCAGAGATCACTTTATCAGTCTAACTTTGGACAGATGTAATTCCATTCTAATATACCAGAGAGACAGTTGCCATCTCTCATTTGAACTAAAACCTTCATGCTCTGCACTGATGAAACTCTCTGTTATTAATCAATACCTCTATGTTTCCCTCACTCTTGTGTACAATAAATTCCCAAAGTACCTCAGAAATAATCATATTATGGTGTCCTAGGATCACAGATAAGATAAAAATCATTTGCCAGAAAAAACATAAAAGCTGTATTTTGATTTTGAAGTTTACGAGTGTTAAGTTGAGTGGTGTTGGCGCCGTGTGGCACAGCACAATGTCCAACTTCAGCATCACTGATGGCTGCAATGTCAGATAGTGCCAATACTAGAACTTGTCACTTTATGAAATGAGCCACAAACTATATGTCTAGCCACCAGGGGGCAGTATTAAATCTCACTTTCACAGAAGACATCATGCGGCAACTTGTTATAATATAATAACAGGATTGTATCCAACTTTGACAAATATATAATGGAAGGGACACATGAACTGGCAAACTAATGAATACTAAATCAGCTCATGGTTTTACACTTAATGTTATAAACTGGCCTTTTTATATCAGTCTTATGTTGGTCAAAAGTCACAATCTTTTTAACATGAAAATTCCATGACATGAATCTAACCTGCAGCCTCACATATCACGTATAGTTTTGTAACTATCTTCCCACTCACCTGCTGAGGCAGGTGATGAAATAGTTCACTCTTGTGAACATGTCACCAACTTCAGCTGTGTGCATGCTTTTATCACATTCCTTTTATACCATGACACACTTTATTGATTCACTAGAAAGTATCCTGATATCTTCTTATTCTTTCTGGTATTTCTTGTATTTAGAAAGTAAATAATTTGCATAAAAAGAGACTTTGAGGTCTTGACCATATTGCTGCACTCAGCAATATTACAGCTACATGTTGGCAGTGTGTAAATTATCGAGTCTGGACCAGGCAATGTCATTGATCATTGCAGGTGGAAGGGGGTTGACCATTACAGGTGGAGGGGGGTTGATTGTTACAGTTGGAGGGGGTTGACAATTACAGGTGGAAGGGGGTTGATCGTTACAGGTGGAGGGGGTTGACCATTACAGGAGGAGGGGGGTTGATCATTACAGGTGGAGGGGGGTTGATAGTTACAGGTGGAAGGGGGTTGATTGTTACAGGTGGAGGGGGATTGACCATTACAGGTGGAGGGGGGTTGATCATTACAGGTGGGAGGCGGGGGGTTGATCGTTGCAAGTGGAGGGGGGTTGATAGTTACAGGTGGAGGGGAGTTGATTGTTACAGGTGGAGGGGGTTGACCATTACAGGTGGCGGGGGGTTAATCATTACAGGTGGAGGGGGGTTGATCGTTACAGATGGAGGGGGTTTACCATTACAGATGGGGGTGGGTGGGTGGGGTTGATCATTACAGGTGGAGGGGGGTTGATCATTACAGGTGGAGGGGGGTTGATCGTTACAGGTGGAGGGGGTTGATCATTACAGGTGGCGGGGGGTTAATCATTACAGGTGGAGGGGGGTTGATCGTTACAGATGGAGGGGGTTTACCATTACAGATGGGGGTGGGTGGGTGGGGTTGATCGTTGCAAGTGGAGGGGGGGGGTTGATGGTTACAGGTGGAGGGGGGTTGACCGTTACAGGTGGAGGGGGTTGATCATTACAGGTGGAGGGGGTTGACCATTACAGGTGGAGGGGGGTTGATCATTACAGGTGGAGGGGGGTTGATCGTTACAGGTGGAGGGGGAAAAGTGGGTTGACCATTACAGGAGGAGTGGGTTGATCATTACAGATGGGGGGCGGGAGGTTGATTGTTGCAAGTGGAGAGGGGTTGATCGTTACAGGTGGAGGGCGGTTGATTGTTACAGTGGGGGGGGTGACCATTACAGGTGGAGGGGGGTTGATCGTTACAGATGGAGGGGGTTGACCATTACAGATGGGGGGGGGGGGGGGTTGATCGTTGCAAGTGGAGGGGGTTTGATCGTTACAGGTGGAGGGCGGTTGATTGTTACAGTGGGGGGGGGTGACCATTACAGGTGGAGGGGGGTTGATCGTTACAGATGGAGGGGGTTGACCATTACAGATGGGGGGGGGGGGGGGGGGGTTGATCGTTGCAAGTGGAGGGGGTTTGATCGTTACAGGTGGAGGGCGGTTGATTGTTACAGTGGGGGGGTGAATATTACAGGTGGAGGGGGGTTGACCATTACAGGTGGAGGGGGGTTGATCGTTACAGGTGGAGGGGGGTTGGTCGTTACAGATGGAGGGGGTTGCCAATTACAGGAGGTGGGGGGTTGATGATTACAGGAGGAGGAGGGGGGATGGGTGGGTGGGTTGATCATTACAGGTGGAGGGGGTTGACCATTACAGGAGGAGGGGGTTGACCATTACAGGTGGAGGGGGGTTGATCGTTACAGGTGGGGGGGGGGGGTTGACCATTACAGATGGGGGGTGGGGGGGTTGATCGTTGCAAGTGGAGGGGGGTTGATAGTTACAGGTGGAGGGGGTTGACCATTACAGATGGAGGGGGGTTGACCATTACAGATGGGGGAGGGGGGGGGTGTTGATCGTTGCAAGTGGAGGGGGGTTGATCGTTACAGGTGGAGGGAGGTTGATTGTTACAGTGGGGGGTTGACCATTACAGATGGGGGGGTGTTGATCGTTGCAAGTGGAGGGGGGTTGACCATTACTGGTGGAGGGGGGGTTGACCATTACAGGTGGAGGGGGGTTGATCGTTACCGGTGGAGGGGGTTGATTGTTACAGGTGGAGGGGGTTGATCATTACAGGTGGAGGGGGGTTGATTATTAGAGGTGGAGTGGGGTTAATCATTACAGGTGGAGAGGGGTTTACCATTACAGGTGGAGGGGTGTTGATTGTTACAGGTGGAGTGGGGTTGATTGTTACAGGTGGAGGGGGGTTGATTGTTACAGGTGGAGTGGGGTTGATTGTTACAGGTGGAGTGGGGTTGATTGTTACAGGTGGAGTGGGGTTGATTGTTACAGGTGGAGTGGGGTTGATTGTTACAGGTGGAGGGGGGTTGATCGTTACAGGTGGAGTGGGGTTGATTGTTACAGGTGGAGTGGGGTTGATTGTTACAGGTGGAGTGGGGTTGATTGTTACAGGTGGAGGGGGGTTGATCGTTACAGGTACACACAGGTGGTAGAAGGACCCATGACCACCCAATACTGACTGTCTGGAATGCCGCACTCCAGACCATGATC